TGGATATCCGATAGACTGTTGTTTGATTTTATATTTCCGAAACGAATAAAGGTAAATAAATTTCCAAAACACTTTTACATGGGCCTAAGTTTGAATAACGAAATTATTTTGGTAATGTACCTATTCTCTTTTTGCTATATAATCACAACGGACTATGTTCTTCGGATGAGTCGCTATTTGTAATCTGTTGTCCAGTAATTAAGACGCGACTGAGTGACTAATGGTCAAATATCCGATTCAAATTGCAAAAAATAGGGCACAAAATGCTCTTTTAAAAACCATTAAAATTAGTTAACTTGTTTGATTAGTGGTACCTAAGTCTTAGTACATATCGACTATTCCGTAGAACAAAGATCTATATGCAAGACTACTTGTTCTCAGGACATAGTACATTTCGTTCGTTCTTCTTCACTGTGGATATCCCGAATTAAGGTAAATAAATTTCCAAAACACTTTTACATGGGCCTAAGTTTGAATAACGAAATTATTTTGGTAATGTACCTATTCTCTTTTTGCTATATAATCACAACGGACTATGTTCTTCGGATGAGTCGCTATTTGTAATCTGTTGTCCAGTAATTAAGACGCGACTGAGTGACTAATGGTCAAATATCCGATTCAAATTGCAAAAAATAGAGCACAAAATGCTCTTTTAAAAACAATTAAAATTAGTTAACTTGTTCGACTTATTGGAACTTAGTCTAACTATGCATAGCTGAAGTATTATTAAACAATTTCAATAGTTTAAAACTGAGTTATGGTTTTTTATGATAACCTAAACAAATAGCCGCGCTTTAGTTAGCAAACCGCAATAATGTAAGTAGCTCTAATTTAGTCACTATTCCGTATTTTCTGTTCATGGAATTAGGGTGAGTTCAAACCTAACAGCAAACACTTTAGGAGAAAACATAAATGGCCCGGCGCCAGGGCCGTGGAAACATTATGGAACGTTACACAAAAAAGTAAATTTATAAATCGTGACTCTAGTTCAATTAATATCTGCGTAGGCAGGTGTGGCAAAGGATTTATATTCCCTGACCAGCAGTGTCGGTGATTTTATATGCGCAAACATGTAATACACTTATGTATTAGTTACACTTATGTATAATTTAAGATAACCTTATAATTTTTAATTTGTTATTATACCTAATAAGTACACTTAAAGATAATATAATTTTTAATTTATCTTTATTATATGTAATAAATCTTTAAGATTAATTTCATTTAAGTACTTATACTAATATGTACACGTATAATAATTTTTTAAAATTTAGCTAATCACAGTCAAGTCAAGTAAAAATAGTTTTTTTTTAATAAAAATGTAAGTGAACATTTGACCTCCATCTCACCTGATGGAAAGTGACGATGAGATCGAGGATGGAGCATGCACACCCAAATAATGCCTCTGCACTCTCGCCTTGAAAAGGTTCAACGTTCAGGGAACAAGTGTGCAGGCAGGGAATTCCACTCCATAGCCGTCCGCCATATAAATGTGGAAGCGTAACGCTTTGTTTTTTTCACAACGACAAAACAGTTTTTCTTGTTCGAGGCTCGGGCTTTTTAAACCTATCACGGGCGCCAGTCACTCACTTAAGTAGTTTGATATCATAAAATTGTATTAAGTCACATAGATTTAATTTGCTCTTAAGCTGTTTTTGTGAGTGAAAATGAATAAATTATGTCATTAAGAATATCGTTATTTGGTTTGAAATTCGTGACTTAATCGTTAATAAAAAAAAAATTCTATTTACCTCAACGTTTCGGACGTATTGAAACGTCCGTTGGTCTCGAACGGACGTAAGAGGTAGGTGTCAACATCTTCTAGCTGTGCGAGATTTATTTGTGCACTAGGGTTGTCACTAGATCGACACACAACACTCACGATATCCGGCGACTTGTCGGACAACACTTCATATCGCTTACATTTGCTGATGACTGGATCCCATGACAATGAAAGCTTAAAACCGTCTTCTCGGTTGAAATTATGATGTTTTTAATTTCCACAGCTTCACGTACAATTATATTACAGTAATGACGTTCGTTTAAAAGATTCCACAATGTCTGAAGACGGGCTTTTCGCATTGTTTAATCAATGTGTTTGTCCACCATGACTTATGGTGCAGAGATATGGACGCTCACGCAGGAGACTGTATCTGTATACAGTCCCTTCTTGAGCGTGAGCCATCCTGCGCCACTCTCAACCTGTGTTGAGAGTAGCACAGGAGCCATGGGGCGCGCCTTGCTTGGCATTATTCTTGTACATCGAGTTCTGAACATTCAGGGCAGACGACAGTCCAGGATGCTGGAACTTGGATCATGAAACTCAAATGGGGTTGGGCGGGACACATAGCAAGGAAAAATGATGACAGGTGGAGCAAGACGTCGACTGACTGGTGGCCGAGGATGGGCAAAAGAAGCGTCGGGCGCCATGTTGCAAGGTGGGTCGACGACATAGTACGCGTTGTGGGGCGTCAATGGATGCCGCTAGCTAGCTAGCTATACATGTCTTTTAATTTTAAGGTTTATAGCATGTCACGATGTTTGAACATCATGATATTAAATTATTTTTGTGAAATTACTCCACTAGTTTGTTGTAATTATTAATACAAAGGTCGAACACTTAATTTTTTTTTTCCAACCGGCTGGATTCAAACGTAACCAACGTCTTCCAGCAAACCACACCGTACACTATGCCAACTAAGTCGCGGAACGAACTAGTAGACTTTACGAATTTTTCTGTGAGTTTATTGCAGATCTTTGTTTTTGGCTTTTAACGACTTTTTGCCATAGCGCCATCTGTGAGAATATCTTTTTTATTTGTGAGTATAAAATCAATTTTGTATCACATTGATTTTATTTTTTCCATTTTTTTATACCAAGTGACGCGACGAACAACAATTTACGGGGCGTAAAACTGTAGCGAAATGAAGTCTTTTATAATAAAGGTTATATTACAGCTTCTGCGTGTTAGGATGACATAAATCAATCCAACCGTTTAGCTGTTTCCAGGTTGTTTCTATTATAGTATTTGAAATAAATATTGTAAATGATAGATTTACCCGAAGGTATATTTACAGAGAGCAACCCCTACAGTGTCGTGTTAATTTTTCTCTGGCGAATCTGCCTTACATATAATGTAAGTATATTTTTGATTGGGAAGTTTTTTTTTTATTAAACTCTTTTTTATACGACACTTTAATATCACATGAAGTAACATTAAAATTAACTTTAGAACACTTTAGGTTTCATTTCTAGGTTAATATTATTTATTTAATGTGACAGATAACCACGCCAATTGCCTGCCTTGCCTGGTCTCACGTCACCTGTATATATATATATGTATGCAGAACATCACACGGTATTATGTACTAATAAATGATGAAATAGTGATGAAAAGGACAAAGGCTCAGCATAGTGCCGTTTTTCAGTCTTCGCCTGTGTTTTCTGTCGGTCATTGTCGGAACAGATTTTTTTTAAATAGGTCCTACCGGTAATCAAACCCGGGGTCTCCTCATCCAGCGACCACAATATAAGCCGGGCCACCGGAGTCATCAAATTGCAAGAGAATAAAAGTTATTACAAGCAAGTAAAAAGCTGGCCTGACCTCGCTACGTGTCCCTCCAATGTCGACCGGATCTCGCAATCGGAGATCACATTGCGTCACTCACTTCCGACATATTGGAGGAACTGTCCCATTACCTTTCAAAATCCAAATAGGTATTATTGGTGTTCCAGATGCTTCCCTATAAGACGTCAAATGAAAAAAATATCGCACCGCTAAATATGTGAAATTCAAGATTATACTTTTGCTGATCGTGAAATTTGAATCTCTACACGGCAATACTACCGTTGTTAGAATATTTTGAAAAACAATTAAATGATATGTACTTAGCAGAAAACGAAACAAACCTTTTGTGAGTAATTTTGGACACAACAGGCCTTACTCAAAAATTTTTAAATATATTTTGCAAGTAGTGAACTGTTACATAAATTTTTGTATCTTTCCCGGTAAGTGAGTAATTCGTTTTCCATCGATTTCGAAAAACTACAGTTTAAGTTAATTCACTATTGATTTGAACTGTGCGATATATATAATATAAATTACTTAGTTAGAATTTTTTTTAACTTTTGAATTCTTTTTTAAAATAACGCACGTAACATTAAACAGGGAGCTTCTCGGCTGGGGGACCCGGAGGGAAAGTACTTTAAATATTGTAGATAGGATATTTCGCTTTATGGAGACATTAATTAATTTTTAAATGTAAGTAATACTGCATTCAAAAACTTTTAAAAAGTTGCTTGCCTCATCTATGATTCGAACCGACCAAATATGAAAAAATATTGTGAAACGCTTAAATTAAAAATTAAAATTTAAAATTAAATTAAAATGCGCGATTAAAAGGATCAATTAGGGATTCAATTTTTAAAGTTTCATA